TTTGTGTATTGATTAACTCACAGCTTTCAAATATTGACCCTTGGGTACAAAATGTCAAGATCCAGCCCTATACCGGCAGGCTCTTAGGTAGTATGACGTCATGAGTTTCTTCTCCTGTTCACTAGGAGTTTACCTCTTTACCAGCATAATTTGACAGCTTGGTAAATAGGGACCACAGGCTGTGACAGGGAGGACAATACATGGAGCCCTGGATTCTAATCAAAACTCTCCCACTAACTAGCAAAATAATTCTAGGAACGTGGTGTCAAAAATCCTAAAATGAGATCATGAAAAAAACTTTTGAAAATTATAAAGTGTAACAGAAGCATAAAGCAGCTCTTTCATTCCCATAATAATCAGCTGTGTTTCCTTGTACAGTTCCTAAATGTCAGGGTGGGAGGAAAGTCAGTCAGTCATAATAGCCCAACACACACAAGGACCTCTTGTTAGGTCGTGAGAGAACTATTTGTGTTTAAAATAATATTTGTGTAAAAGATACTTAAGTAGTTATAGAATTCAATTTCTATAATGTTATGTCCAAAAGAACTAAACACAACAGGTTTTATTGTAACTTTTTGAATCCATAAAAACAGATTCCCCTCCACACTCACTTTTTTTCCCATGGAATATTTAGCTGCTGCAGACAAAGGCATTCCCTCTTTTCCAAGTGAGGCGAATATTTTCTAAATAAAACAGAATTCAAACTTTACAAGGGCTTGGCAGCCCTTCTTTACAAACCTGGCCCAAATAAAAAATCTGGAAACTTCTCTTGACCCTAATTTCCTAAATTGTACTTTCAAAAGATTACATGTGGAATCTTATCTATGTCTGGAACAAGGGGAAATCTGTCATCTCTATTCTCCCCCGCATGGCAGCAAGCTGAGGAATGCTCCCATCAGAGCGGCGAGTGGGCACTGGCAGTGTCCTCCCTGCAGGCCCAGCCACCTCTTTCCTGCACGCATTCCAGCTCCGTTCTGCAGCTAAATGCATTATGGGCGGCAGCACAGACCACTTTTCTCAGAGTAGGAAAAAAACAAGTTCAGTTTAAATTGCTGGCATTTTTCTCATTTTTGAGATGTCACATTTTGCATTATTCTTTTTATTTCGGGGAGAAGGGAAACTTTGTGATTCTGTGTAAGCCCTCCTAAGAACTTCAGCACAAGCAAAACTACAAAACAGCTGAATTCGCCTTCCAAGCTCATGACTGCTAAGAAAAGTCTCAATTCCATTCACCCAGAGACGTCTCCTATCAGTCAAATTGACTGTGAGAACGTTTTCTGAATGGGCTCCTAGGGACTGTCAAAATGGGGAAATGAGGATTGTCTGAATTCTGAGTTCAGGGGCAGTCCTTTGGAGGCTGCATTTGGTCCAGTTGCCCCTGTTCATAGGGGCTGCCTTGTTTCTTTCCCTTCTCTGTCTCAGGAGCTGGGCTTGGTCACCCAGTTTGGTCACAGGATGGTCGCTGTTCAGTTATTGTGTTAAGAAAGCAAGAGAGATGCCAAATAAGAAAGAGAAACCTATAAAGGCGGATGAAGAGCCCTCTCCTCTCACCGCCCGTGAACCCGTCGCAATGCTATCCAGACAGACACGTTTGCAAAGCTATGGCATCGTTTTTGTACACAGGAACTTCCAATGCACACAGTTCTGTTACATAAACCAAGCGTTACTTCAAGGCAGCAGAGGTTATTTAAACTCTCTGTGAATTTATCAATATACTTAATCCAACCTAAAAGAACATGTGATTTGTCTTTCTCAGAGTATATGGTGCTTGACGCTCATCTTCATCTATCTTCTTAAATTAGCATTAAAAATTCCATTCACAAATGCAGTTTGAGTCAATTAATAATTACTAAAATTTCCCATTGTTTTAATCCATTAAAACCCAAAGTATGTGAAACATAAAGGTTTGATTTTATCTGAAAATATTTGTTTCCCTCATTTGCTTTCTGTGTATCAAGAAAATTCAATTAAGTGTAGTAACGATTGGTCTCCTCTGTGAACCAAGGGCATATTACCTATCAGTCACAAAAGATGGCCTTTTCCTAACAGTTCTCTGGGTTCAGTTTACTTAAGTTCTAAGCACCAAACAACCAATGATCACAGCTTAAGGCAAAACGTGGGCCTGTTCTGATTTAGCAGAAGCAATTTTTCACCCCAAGTAGAAATAATCTATTAGCAAAAGGCAACCACACAGATTCTTTGTAAATTATGGACTTCCAGACTATGGGGAGGAAAGACCCCTGGCTACATAAAGTAATCTGATGCTCTCGTTTAGTATACAAGGAGTGCAAGGAGACCAAAGCTCATAAACAGGAAGGGAGTTAACTATTAATTTTTTAAACATCCTTGTAACAAATATATACACATGATCTAGATGAAATATGAGAGCACTCCTAGGGCGCATAAAAATCAAAATAAACAATGTAAAAGTGACAAATAAATTTACCATTTGGAAATGAAAGCAGGGATTTCCCATCAGGTTAATGATGGGAAATTAGCCTGGAGATGTGTGTGGCTCTCTTTATTGTCATGTCTGTGTGAGCAGAGGCCAAGGAAGATGCTGACATCCTGCCATGTACAGAACAGCCGCCATCTCCGAGAACAATCTGGCCCCAAACATCAATAATGATGAGGAGGAGAAGCCCTAAATTAAAATTCACTGCCCTGGAATGGGCTTCATGGGTTCATTCACTCATTCAATGGAACATCTTTATATACCCACCGTGGGCTGGGTATGTTAAGATTGGACATATAAACAGCACTGGGACCCGGGAGAGGGAAGGAGGGTGGGGCCCCCCGGGTCTGGGCTCCCAACTACACATTTTCAGGACAGACACTGTGACGAGTGTGCATCAGCAATCTCTCTCACTAGGTTGCTCAAAGCTGAATAGTACTTACGGGTGTGCCCCTAAGACCCAGAAAGAAAGAAGAGGAGAAAGAAAAGTCAAAGTACCAGAAGGAAGATAAAGCCAAGAAAAAAGAGGTGGGGAAAAGCAAGAGGGAGAGCTAGGGCATTGTATGAGTCTGTTCTCACACTGCTAATACCCAAGACTGGGTGATTTCTAAAAAAAAGCATCTTAACGGACTCACAGTGCCACATGGCTGGGGAGACCTCACGATCATGGCAGAAAATGAAGGGGAAGCAAGACATATCTTACATGGCAGCTGGCAGGAGAGCCTGTGCAGGGGAACTCCTCCTTAAAAACCATCAGATCTTGTGAGACTTACTGTCATGAGAACAGCGTGGGAAAGCCCCACCCCCTTAATTCAATTACCTCCCACCAGGTCCCTTCTAGGACACATGGGAGTTATGGGAGCTACAATTCAAGATGGAATTTGGGTGAGGACACAGCCAAACCATATGAGGCATCACACAAAGCACCTCCTGGGAGGCACTGATATCCCCAGGCAAGGCCCAGTGCAGGCCTTTGAAGCATGGAAAGGCTGGCACTTGCATCAGTGAATCTGACTAGTTGAAACAAAGAAAGCCATCTTTCCACCCTCACTTCATGTAAGTCTGGCTGTCCAGGTTCCCGCTCATTACTCAGCACATGGGGTATTATTTAAAGGAGTGTGCTCTGACCAGTGAAGTGGGGCCGAGGGCTCAGCCACACAACCCCCACACTGAGACTCAAACACCACTGGGAGGAAAAAGGAAACTATTTAGAAAGCACCTCTTCAAAAGTTCTATACATCATTTCTACAAACTCACCAAGAAGGTTATAGGGGTCCCCGATGTGTGGGCTTTGCATTATTTATTTATTTTGGACAGCATTTGAAGACATAAGATTCTAATTATTTATCAATTGGAGTATTTTTAAAACTCCTTACATCTCTGACGATTTATCCCAGAGGCCTTTTCTGAGGTTAAATATCTTCAGGAAAATAGCCTTCATCAATTCCTGCTTTATTTCCCCCTTGTCTCTTAAGTGTTTCCCTAACTAAGACTGAATCTTTCTCCTTCTCTTCTTCCTACCCCTTTATTCAGGGTTGAGAACTCCCATATCTAAGCTGGCTGAGACCTGCCTCAGTGTCTGACTCCATAGATACTCAGTTTAAAGGCAGGGAAGCAGACAACGAAATGGGGCAAAATAAGAGAGAGTTACTCTTTTATAAATACAGAAGGGGGAGGATCTTTTGCCAGTGCTCTCTGTATTTGCTAAATTTTTCCCCCAAGCTCTTGGTCCTGGGACCAACTTTGCATAGTGAGCCCTCTCTTCTGCTCTGTGTATATCTGCTTTCTTCTGCAACCCAAAGCATAATTCACCACTGGAAAAGTCTATGCTCCAATACAATGTAAGATGTTCGCTAACAGAATGAGGCACAGTGAGCCTGTGCACAAGCTGCAGAAGAATTTCCTCAAGTTGATCATGAATAATTTTTTCAAAGACACATAGACTTCCTTGAAAGGCAAAGTCATGCATCTTTCCGAGCCAGACAAATATTTGAAAGAAGTCTGCCATACACACATGCTCAAGAAACATATTTCCAACCTTAGATGTAAACTGCACATTCCATAGGAACATGGGGAGGTAGATGTTGGTATCAAAGAGAGTGCATTATAAAACACAGGTTGAGATAAATTGTAAAGCATAAATCACAAATAACATTTTATGTAATAATTTCATTTATCATATCATTACTTTCTAGATTTAGCTGTAAAACAGAAAAGGAGGAATTTAAAACAGTTTAAAAATTCAGGCCCATATTTCTTCCAGTGCTATCAATAAATTAATTTATTGCCTTAGTCTAGTGACAGGAAGGGCAAATTAGATCTGATCTTCTTATGTTCTGAACCCTTTTTGGAAATGATGGATTGCTGTGGTTAATTTTAATGTAACATTAAAAACTTGAGAATATACCGTATCCGTATTTTGAATCTTGCTTTTTTCACTTTACATGGCATCATAATCAGCAATACTCTTCATATCAACGTGCTTTATGCAGTGTCGAGTGCTTCAAAACAGGGTGATGGCTGCTCATAACTGTGTCCTTCTTACCTTTGACTTGCCTTTGCTATAACAGGCCTTCTTGGTAGCTTCATCACACTCCCATTCCACAGCCTGTAGAAAGAAAATACCAAAACAAAGAAGACATTTATGCAGCCAACAAACATAAAAAAAATGGTCATCATCACTGGTCATTAGAGAAATGCAAATCAAAATCACACTGAGATTCCATCTCACGCCAGTTAGAATGGCGATCATTAAACAATCAGGAGACAACAGATGCTGAAGAGAGTGTGGAGAAATAGAAACGCTTTTACACTGTTGGTGGGAGTGTAAATTAGTTCAGCCACTGTGGAAGACAGTGTAGCGATTCCTCAAGGACCTAGAAATAGAAATTCCATTTGACCCAGCAATTCCATTAGTGGGTATATACTCAAAGGATTATAAATCGTTCTATTATAAAGACACATGCACACATATGTTCATTGTGGCACTGTTTACAATAGCAAAGACCTGGAACCAACCCAAATGCCCATCAATGATGTATTGGATAAAGCAAATGTAGCACATACATACCATGGGACACTATGGAGCCATAAAAAAGGATGAGTTCGTGTGCTTTGCAAGGACATGGATGAAGCTGGAAACCATCATTCTCAGCAAAATGACACAAGAACAGAAAACCAAACACTGTATGTTCTCACTCATAAGTTGGTGTGGAACAATGAGAACACATGGACACAGGGAGGGGAACATCATATACCGGGGCCCGTTGGGGGGTGGGGGGCTAGGGTAGGAATAGCAGGGGGTAGAAGTTTGGAGAGGGATAACATTTGGAGAAGTACCTAATGTAGATTGCGGGGGGATGGAGGCAGCAAACCACCAAGGCATGTGTGTACCTATATAACAATCCTGCATGATCTGCACATGTACCCAAGAACTTAAAGTGTAATAAGGAAATACCAAAACAAAAGCAGCTATCATGGTTTTGATTATATCAAAGGGAAAATATAAACAAGGCACTGGTAAACAAATTAGGAAATATGGCAGCACCCTGGCACCAGCATTTTCACACTCATAGAATTTACACCAAATACATGAAATTTAGTCATGTGCTTATATTTAGCTCTAACACTGAGGCGTAAGGACTTTCCCCCTTACTATTTGCTTTTAGGTAGTGATGACGCGATGTTTAGATCTAGTCACTGTTAGAGAAGAACAATGAGGTGGTGACTATGCCACTGATTGCAGACATGATCAGTGAAGCCACAGAATAGACCCAGAGGAGGCTTAAAGGAGGGGCCTTGAGACAAGATCATTTAAATGTTCATTTAAACATTTATATTTTATTCAAATAATGTCATTTATCAATATTCATAGATAATGAAGAATGATTTTGCATATCCTTACTACCAAGATACATATGTAAATGACAGTCAATCAACAGGCATCTCATGCAAAGAGCACAGCTAGGATTTTCCCCGATACCAGTCATTTTCGTGCTGTTATTAACTCTGACTAAATATTTAGAGCCATGGCTTTTACATATTTTTTTCTCAGAAGTTCCAAATCTCACTTATGCTGATTAATTTGCTATGTGTGCTTTCACCTCTGAGGCTAACTCACAAATGGAATCTGTGATTCGTGAAGAAAATAGACAAGGTTTGCTTTACAGAAAGGATGCCCGCAAACATTCGTGGCCTAGCTCTTGTGTTGTGAATAATTTTTTGAGCAAATTGAGGCATCTGGGCCTTTTTTCTCTTTTCTATTATTATATAGAGTGTGGACTTTTATAGAGTAAAAATATTTTCTCCATTCTCCACACCCGTTATTACAATTATTTTCTATTTTACTATTAAAATTGGCTTTCTGAAGGATCAGGGATATGCAGTAACAATCATTAACAGAAAGACATTCTGAGATAGAGACTTTTTTTTGGGTTAATTTGGAGTAATGTCAAATAATAAACTAAACCAAAAACAACCTAGTATCAAGTCATATGAAGGAAAATAATGAATTTGTCCTTATTTCTAGTAAGAAAATGTTTTTTTTTTTTTTTTCCTAATTATCCAAACTTTAGAGAATAACGAAGTCAGGTTAACACCATTCACTAATATCTTCTGCCTTGCAAAGAATGTTACATAACAGAGATTAAATCATAAAACACTTCCTTTTGTATGATTTATGTTACTTGGCAAATATGATGATTCCATAAGAATAGTATTCTAGAGAGAACCGCTTCAGTGTCTTTGAAACCAAAACAATGCTATAACTGTTTTCCCTTGTGCAGACTTGAAGATTTCTGTCAGTGTCAACATCTGATAAGAGAATTTGTTAATTCCTTCTGTGATGTTTCCCTGTTCATAATGTTTGATGACAACGATAAAGTCACAGCTAATCAGCATCTGATGCAAACACATGACTTTAATACCATACCAGGATGACAAATATTTTCATGAAAAGCAGTGACACCTCCAGAGAAAACAGCCTCCCATACAGCTGCATAACTGCATCCCCATGAAGTACAGACAAAATAAATAAAAATAAATGCACTGTTGTTCATCTGATTTGACCTTTAGTATATTCCTTTCATAGGTCTCCTCACGAAAGATCACCCCGTGTTTTTATTTAAGTAGGTATCCAAATTTTGGCGTTTACTTAAACCTAAAACTGGCTTGAGGATTGATATACTACAGAATATTCTTTCAATGGAGTAAACCTGATTATAACTTTGGTTGTATATTGCCAGAAGATTTAGTATTACATATCAGCAAGAGGAACTGGTGTTACACAATTACTAGGAAAACTGTACTTTAGATAAAGAGCCATTCACAGTGGCTTTCATTGGTCTGGTGATTTTGTTAAAAGTTAAATAGTAATGTTCTCTTCTATAAGCATGAAAGCTATAAAGAGCAGGATTAGTCCCAGGTTTAAGAGAGAAGAATATTTACCAAATGTCATCAAAATTGTTCAGATCCTGCCACTGAAATGGCAAACAAACAGCTTCACAAGCCTACCTAATGCCCCAATAGGCTTTGCATTTTCAAGATAAATATTGGCCCAGGATTGAAAGGAAAAATAAGAGAAGGAAGAATGTGAGACTTAAAAAAATATATTTCGTTATATTATCTAGCATACCAAAAAATAACAACTGCTCTTACAAGTTTATTAGACCAATAATAAATAGGACAAATCTTACAGATTTTCTGAAGATAGTGACTAGAAAAAGTTAATTTCCTAAGGAATTTTATTACAGTCTCACTAGCTTGTATATAATATTCAAATCCAGAATTAATTAAAGACCATGATTGTACAGCTTTTCTGTTCACTTTCTACCTGAATACAGAACAGGATAAAGGGAAATTTTATATTAAGAATGGAACTTTATTTATTCCAGAAGACAGCAGGAGTATATACATATTATTGGATAGCACAGAATTTGAAAAGAAATGGAATGGAGAAAAGTGGCTTTTCCAGATTATACTAGAATGAGGAGTTCCAGATTCATCCCGTAGTGTCCCCCTATTCACTAGGTGAGCTAGACTTTGACCATTTGATCACTTGGCAGATATGAAATTTTTTGATATTCTTATTTGGAGACAAGAATATCAATGGACCTCTTCTTTATGGGATCTTATTTCTCACAGTGACCCATTTTTCTGTTTGAAATTAGATTGTTTTTTAACCTGGTCACTTCTTCCTTATTCTTCCAGATCCATTCTAATTAACTAAATACCTTTTAATCAAGCCTTTTCATTCATTTCTTAGTGAAGATTTTCTTTCATGTATTATGATTATAGATCAAATCCCACTACTGATTTGAGAAGCTACCTTTCCACTTGTATTCAAATTTATTTAAAGACGTTTTTCCACCTACCCAAACCTATCTTTAGAATAGTCAAAACAAATGCTAAGGCATTCTACATTTCAGATCTCAACACAACATTCATAGTCTCATTTCCTGAATCTCCGTTTTAAAAAATATTTAATTTTTTTCATCTTTTGTCCTTTTCTATTTCAGGATACCCAGTAAAGAAATATTTCTACTCTACTCCATTCAATATTTTGTCTGGATTAATGTTTCAGCAGCAGACATATATCAGTAATATTGTGGTTACTGGAAGCTTCAGAGATTGGATACAGTAGGCAGTGAGTGTGAAGCATCTACATTTTAAAAGACACAACAATTCCTGTTTGTGGAAATTTTTTTTCTGTAGCTACTTACAAATAATACCTGTACTACTCAACAACTTTCAGGTTTGCATTATGCACATGCATTAATTATCTCCTTAATTTAATAAATATTCATTAAGTACCTACCAAATGGAAGACATTCTTCTATGTAATTAACAGAAGGAAAAACAGACATAGAGATACACATCAGATGTTAATTTCCAATACAGCATACATAAGCGTATTCCATCAGCCCAGACAGAATTATGTTAAATCTGAGGTTGCAACAGTGTTCATTTTCATTGTTACAGTAGCCATATGCAAGTTTATCTCAGGTCCAGTGACATACTCTGACTTACGATATCATCAGCTTTCAGGAAGTAACAAACATACAGAGAGAACTAAACACAAAAAAAGCTTATGGAAAACCCATCTTATATCTGCACAAATAATCCTGAGGATGCAACGAAGCCCGCATTGTTTCAAGACACAGCACATATATGACTGGATTGCACACAGACATAGTCTGGTTAGGATAAATAGAGCTGTGATCTCAGCAGTAAATCAGATGCAGAAAAGAAAAAGAGATTGGCTCTTTTTATGTATGCATTACATACATATAATCCACAGTTCTCAGAAGTATATAAACAAAGCTGTGTATTATCACACTCCACAGCCAGATAATTAGATAGGGACCAGCAAAGGCAGACACTTTTCATAAAAATGAAGAGAACAACATTCTAGGCAAATGGACTACTACTCCTTCAGCAGATGGCTTTGCTAATTAGATACTGGCAAAAGATAACATTTAACAAAACTAGTTTAATTACACAACGCCAAAAATTAACAACCACCTGAGGGCTTTCTTTTTACATATGTTTACATTCATAATCTTATGTCATGTACTCTGCGATGCGCTGGGAAATGTTACATTGCCATGG